TGGATTGTGTGTTGCGAAATATCCATCTAAGCACCAAGAACTTCAGGAGAGACCCTTCTTCCCAAATGGAACGAGGGAATGAATAAATAAAGAAGATGGAGGAATCATGAGGTGGAGGCCAGCCCCAAGGGTCAAGCCTTCATTGTGTTGGCAATATTATTCAGTTAGTCAGGATAGTACTGTACAGTTCAGACACTGCAGGTTTCTAATCTGCTTATTTATAATTCAAAAGCTTGCCCATATATTAATGAACCCTTAATGAGCTGTTGAAAATGCCTGAATTAGAGTCAGATTATTAAACTCAAACGGCCCCTGTAATCATACCATTTGAGTGGGCTTTAGGTACTTTTCATATCTGCAGCTTTCTATTGTGAAGAAGATGGGTTTATTCGAAGAAAGCTTTGTAATAATTTTGACCTGCAATTTATTTATTGGCCTCTGAATGCAGCAGTCTATGCAGATGCTCTCGTCTATTATCTGTGGGGGCAGGTGCACAGCATGTAGAAAGACAGCTAATTAGGATTTGCTGAAAGATATGCTAAAACTGTGGTCTTATAACAAAGCCAAGTTCATTGTTAAACAACGTTTTAGTGTCTGTTTATGTGATTTGTCTAAAAATGGTGGAGATACTGAAATGAATGTTGTGGTTATAAGCAGATTAAAATCAGTAGCAAACATGCTTTTTGTTAACCTTATAATGCTCTAATGTCACCAAGGATACTAGATTTTTAAACTTTATACGGACCCATATGTGCATAAGAAGATATTACTGCGCACATTAGGTAACAGGAGTGTTAGACGCGGGAGGTAATTGTCCCACTCTGCTTGGACCTGGTGAGGCCTCCGCTGGAGTGTGCACTTCTGGGCACCACATGTTAGGAAAGATGTGGACAAACTGGAGAGAGTCCAGAGGAGAGCAACAAAAATGCTAGAGGGTATAGACAATCTGACCTATGACGAAAAGTTAAAAACACTGGGCATGTTTAGTTTTGAGAAAGAAGACTGGGGGGAGGTGCTGATAACAGTCTTCAAACATGTTAAGAGCTGTTTTAGAGAGGATGGTATTCTTCATGTCCACTGAGGGTCGGACAAGGAGAAAGGGAACGTTAGGTTCGATATTAGGAAAAAAACTCTAACTCTAGGGGGAGCTCAGCTCTGGAACAGGCGTCCAAGGGAGGTTGTGGAATCCCCGTCATTGGAGGTTTTTAAGACCAGGCTGGACAAACACCTGTTGGGGATGGTCTAGGTTTTCTTGGGGACTTGAGTTCTTGAGGTCCCTTCCAGCCCAACAGTTCTGTGATTTTATATAAAGAGAACCTGCAAAGTGCTTTAAAAACGCGCATTCTAGCTGCCATATTAAGGTGAAAGTATTCGCCTTTTGGTCAGTGCACGGCTAGGTTATTACTGTCTGGCTAAGACCTCACACTTCCTGTGCCATTAGTACATCTGTAGTTGTTTTGGAAGTGATGTATTATTGTGTTCTTTCTAGTCTGCTCTGTACCTTAATTCCACCATGCATTGAAAGGTCAGTGAGCTAAACAGTAATAAACTCATAGTTTGATATACTGAGGAATAAAAAAGGGAAACAATAGCCCCAGAGTCTGAGCTTATATGTCAGAAAATACATATATTATCACTGTATTCAAATGGAAAGTAATTTATAAAGGCAGGTGCTAGGTGAGAACAAACGGATGCCCTGTGGATAAAGAAAAGTGTTTTCTCCTTACTAAAGAATCCAGGAAGTGTTCTGGATCTTTCTTATCAGATTCACTTACATATGTGATAGGGGAACCGATTGGATGGTTTGTAACTCTAGTGTTCCTAAACAGTGTGGTTACACAGAATACAAAGGGTTCCCTGCTTTTTCCCCTTAAAGGAAAACAATCTCCTATTTATTCTGTGCTGATTTGATGCATATAATTCATAAAGTAACTAGGGAGGATTAACACATTTATCCGCACACACAAGGTTAACTCTTGTAGGAGTTAGTTAATTAACTCATGGCTTTGCCATTCACATGAACGATGAAACTCACTCAGTAGCAAAATGAATGCTAGAGCGTGGTATGTTACGTCCCTTTCTTTCCCATTTCTTTGTGTGTTGTCAGACATCCACTCTCTGGGCTGTATGTATCTCTGCTTTGGAATTACGCAGATTACTTCCCACTAGGAAGAAAACAATTTGCCACTCCCGGCGTTACCTGCGTTATAACAGTATATTAGGACTGTGAGCTGCAGACTCTGGCATTCAGTGTCTGCTGCTACATTCCTTCCTCTTGTGTTGAGGAGGGGAAGGGCGAGGGGGAGGGGGAGGGGGGCTCTTTCTTCCATTGACTCCTTTAACCGTCCTTCCAGCTGGTCTCCTTTTGTATTTATTTAACACGAGGGAGCATTGTCTCCTCTTAGGCATGTTGTTACCAGGAAGCTCAGTAATTGTGTTAGTCTCAGTCTAGAAACACACAGTCATTTTCTGCAGAAATTTTTACTCTTTGGCCCATACTCCAAAGTACAAGGACCAGGAAGCCAGACGAGTGGGGCCCATTTACCTGAGCGGAGAATTTGGTCCCGCGTGTTTAACTGTCAGGGGAGAGGAGTGAAACCACTATTGAAATCTCTGATGGTGAATAAAGACCATTGTAGGCCATAAGACTCAACAGCCGCTGGGGGAAAGTACAGGAAAAGAAACTGACAGGAGACAAAGAACAAAGAAATAACAATAGGAATGGTTATTTAGAAGGAAACGATTGAAAATGTAAACGGGAGAGTGTTAGAAAACCAGAACGCTGTTCAAAAACATTAAAAGCCAGGCTGGAAGGGAGAGAGGAAAAAGACAACAAAAAGGACAATCACCTCAGTAGGGAAAAAATTCTTTGTACAAATCAGAAAGAGAATATCCAAGGAAAATGAGTTTCTCTCTGTTCTTCTTTCCTCTAGTCTCTTTGACCTGTTGCACTTTCTTTTGCTGACACACACACACATAACAAACCCTGCCAAATCTTAATTCTAAGAAACTTTCATGAGCTAAGCAGGTGTATTGGCTTGAGCGAGGCTGAGCTGGTAACTTTGATGTCCGTGAACGGGTAAATGCCAGAATAAAGAGGCAAAGCTGTCTGGACTGCTGTTTCAGTGTTCTTTGACCCACACGGTTCTTGGTGCTAACTTTTGGGCTCAGTCAATCAGCGGATGATGATAATACATTATATTTTCAAACCTTGTTCAACCTCCGAACAGGCAACAGAAATAATTTAAAATGACAATGAGACATTTTTATTATCCCAATTAAATTATATGGAATTATATTTTTAAATGAAGGTGACAGGTTTAAAATGTGTGTCTTAGAGTGAAATTAAAGCTGTGCCTTCTTGTGCCTGGAAGGTTGGCCAATGAGGGGTCGTGTCATGCAATGTGTAGAGTTCAGGACATCAAGGAATCAAATCTGTTTCTAAAAGAGTGTGGGCTGCACTGAGGCTAGCCTAGAAAATAGCATTGCTGGTACTCAACGGAACACTTGGCAGCTTCTGGATGTTATTGTCATGTACGCTGCACTCTACACAGAGTGTGCACCACTGTGTGTAACTAAGAACAGGCGCAGACACAGACGGCAGAATCAGAATGCAAACATGCGAGGTGCCAACTTCCTACCCACTGGGATCTTGTCTAACTAGTGTGTGAATACCTGGTTTTAAACAGATTTAAAGAGGTTAATTGGGCTGGGAGATCGCTGGTTGTGTTACATCTTTAATAGAAGTGCTGATTCGAGAAGCAATGGCTCTAGTGAGTTTTATACTAGTGTAATTATTTTTAAACTTTGTTTTCAGCATTGTTGATAACATCTTGGCAGAGTGCCAGCATGCCCTGATTAAACCTACAAATTGTCAGTCTTGATCTGTAGCACTCAGATGAGATTGCTGACTGGGCATCACTTTGGATGGTCTAATTTTAAAACAGAAATTACGTTTAAAGTGTTGTTCCCACCAACATATTGTAATAGTGCCGGCAATTTCAAACCCATGTTTAGCATCCCAGCATCCTGACTGCAGTTAAATGCCTGGGTGGTAAGAGAAGGCATCATTCGTTCTTGTTTATATTTCACGTTTAAATCTGCATGTGAGCTCCCGAGTGGTGCAGTGTTCTGCATGGCAGGGCTGTGTGCAGGAGGGCATTCTGGGGTCCCATCACCCTCAGCTTTTCGTGAAGAGGCACTTCTGTTATCTTGCCCTCACTTCTATCCCCGCTGCTGCCCTTGTAACGCCTAAACCTTCCACGAGGGGGTTGGGTGCCCTTTGGAGGGTGGCTCCCTCACAGGTATATTTGGTTGACACCACTGGGAGTTATAGCACCGATTTACTCTTAGGGGAAGTCCCCTGGAGTTCAGTCAAGAATGCCACCCCTTCCGCAGACACTCCAGTTAACCCTTCGGATCCTGTAGCAGGGATAGATTTCTGCCCAGCAAGTCTCAGCAAGAACACCACGAACCTCAGACAAATAAATAACACAAACTTACTCCTACCATATGTTCTTCTATCCGTGTGATGTTACTAAATAAGTAGTGCTTAGATTTAGGTATGTTATTGAAAAATAAAGGAAAACATCACGTATGAGTATATTCCTGTCATATTTACAGTAAAGAATTAAAAAAATCTATAGAGTATTTGAAAAGTTCTGTGACAAGTCTCTCATCCTCTGTTAAATTCAGTGGGTTTTCAGAGTAATTTCTATACAGCCCTATTGGTTTTATTTCTGCTAAATTCTATACGACTTTTCCTTAGGGCTGGGGGAGGCTTGGACCTCTTAGGCCATCATGGTGATGGGGACAGAGCCGTTCTCCACCCTCATGCCTAGGGGTCAGTGTCTCTCCCAGCAGAGAATGGTTTTGTAAAATATTACAATGACTGGTCCAGCCCGCCCCCGGGAGTGGGGCTGGCTGCAGGCAGGAGCGTGCCAGGGCATGGGAAATACTCACGGTGGTTTCTCTGTCTGTCTCTCTCTTTTTTACCCAAGGTTTGAGCATCCGAGGAGCCCAGGAAGAAGACCCTCCCGACCCCCAGCTAATGAGACTGGACAATATGCTTCTGGCCGAAGGGGTTTCAGGTCCTGAGAAAGGTGGGGGATCGGCAGCAGCAGCCGCAGCCGCAGCAGCCTCTGGAGGGTCCTCAGATAACTCTATCGAACACTCAGATTACAGAGCCAAATTGACCCAGATCAGACAAATCTATCACACAGAGTTGGAGAAATATGAACAGGTCAGACATCGCTCTCACAGCCCTATGTGTACCTGCTGCCACTTGTCTCTGCACCTCTGCTAACCAGTTCCTGTTTCTCTATAGGGCTTAGAAATTCCCTCTCTCTCTCTGGTTAAAGAGCTGGGCAGTCGAATGAAAGGGCTGATGTTGTGGGCGGCGCTCAGTGGCAATGACCAGGCTGGCTGGCATGCCTCGTTCTTATCTGTTCTTCCCCACTGTTCTGACTGTGTGCACACTGAAAACATCCTAGAAACTGCTCGGTTAGGGGACTCTGAGGGTGTGTCTACACAGGGCTAACAAACCCGCAGCTGGCCTGGGTCAGCTGCAGCTGTTTAGATGTACCCTTAGGAAAAGGGGGAACGTTAAATAGTGCCACTTCGTAAGCCTGTAATGAACCCTAGTAAAATCAGTGCTTCAGGGAGCCAAAATGCACATGATGGCTGGGAGCCATAGCACTTGGAGAGGTTATCAGATCTCACACGCTAAGTAAGGTCAGGCCTAGGCTCGTACTTGCCTGAGTGATGGTTGAGAAACAGGAAATGGAGTTGGTGCGTTAATAGGTATCAATCTTCCTCGGAGTTGGCAGTGAATCCAAGACTCTAGCATGGTGCTAGGTGGCCCCTGCTGCCGGAGGTGGTGTCTTTCTGAGGTCCTGACCACTTGTGGTTTTGAGGATCTCATGGCATTGTTTGCAAGATTTAGAGCATTAGCTTGAGTGTCCTGGGCAAATATATGCTGCCTCCCTAAATTCTGCCTGAAGTTTCAATTGGGTATGGTAATCTGTATCTTTCTCTCTATAAACTATAGCCATGTAGATGATATAAAGCACTTCAGAATTATTCAGGATGAAATACACTATATAAATTTAAGATGATAATTTATTATTCATAATAATAAGAAATATGCAAATTAAGTTGATGGTGAAACCTTTTAAGGTTGACATTTGCTCTCAGTATTTTTACATGATATAAATAATCCTCTGCAGATCCTCAGGGCTGTGGGTTCTTCTCTGGGACCTGGTAACATGCTGCTCTTGTGGGGGAACCTTTAAAAACCTGCATTCTGCTCTTGTGTAGAGCAGTGTGGCTTCCCTGCCCCCATGCATCCAGCGTGGCAGGGACTGTGCACTGAGAACAGCCTGCAGAGCCACCAGGGAGAGGGATTCTCCTTTGTGTTTCTTTACTGGACAACATTGAATCTAAGGAGCTGGAAGGGGGGCGGGCAGGAGAAGAAAAGGGAAGAAAACAGACCCCTGGCTGTTGCCAGCCTCAGCCATAATGGCTTCATTTCTCCCTCCAGAGAGGTCCTAGTAAAGCTTATAAACCCTGAACCTAATGAGCTCAATGAACCTAATCAGCTGGTGGTTTCCTGAGCTGAAGGTGGGCAAGTTCTGGGCTCACCCCAGCACATTACTGTGAAGCGTCCCTCTGAACAAAATGAAACCACAACCCAGACCATAAGGCAGTGGTAAAAATCCCACTTGAAAGCACGACAGCAAAGGAAATCACAGCGCTGCTCAGGCGCCGTTCTTTTGCCAGAAGCTGGGAATGGGCGACGGGATGGATCACTGGATGATTCCCTGCTCTGTTCATTCCCTCTGGGGCACCTGGCATTGGCCACTGTCGGTAGACAGGATACTGGGCTAGATGGACCTTTGGTCTGACCCAGTGCGGCCGTTCTTATGTTCTTAGCTGCTCTGCTGTGGCTTGGCAAGTTCCCCCAGTCTGCTCTGCTGGGGCTTAGCCATGGGAGGGGACTTGCTTGTCTCCCAGCCAGGGTCCTTGGCTTTAGGATGCTCAGACCTTGCATTTTAACCCCACAGAGGCTCTTGGGCTAGTTTAATTTCCTGTTTTATGAAGGTAATTAACAAAAAAGAAAACACGGAAGAGGTTAATGGAGTCTCCCTGAAAGGTATTGACAGTAAGGGCCACGCTCTGGCAGAATCTGTGGCTGACTTGCACGCCAACCGGCTGAAATGCCGTGATCTGCCATGTTGGACACTGGTGGGATCTTCAGGTAGGAGCAGCAGGCAACAGGCAGACAGCACAGCTGGTCCTGCTGCTTTGTGTGCGCACTGCCCACTGCCCTAAGCAACCTGGCCAGACGAGCCGGCGGGACAGTCCTTGCTCCTGGCAGGTTCTTGCTCCAGAGCCGCACACACGCCTATTCAACATTCTGGATTTCTTTGTCTCTAACAGATTCCTGGAGCCTCCCCGCCGCCAATCAATACATCTGCAGGGCAGCCAGAGTCCCTCTTTCCGAGCCTTCTAATAGTCCCCCAGCCTGCCCATCGGCCCCTCTCTCTTCCCCGGGTCTCTCCACGAGGCCCCATCTCTTACAACCAAACAGTCGCTGAAAGGCCCAGTAGCTCTGGAAGCCTCTTGGCTTGACACCGATTGCAGCTGAGTTGAGATCATTCAAATCTCACAAGCCCTGGAATCTAACCTGCAGCCAGGCCCCCTCTCAGAGGCTCCCGGAGGTCTCGGAGCAGCAGCAGGAAGCAGACAGGAAGCTGCGTGGTGGGGCGGGAGTTGTGTCGTGTGGACAGCTGAGGAGGTGTTTGGGGACACGGGCTGGATGCTTTCCCCAGCCGGTGCAGTCCAGGCCGCGTTCTGCTGGCAATGTGGACAGAACCTTTGTTGCTATGGCTCAAGGCCAGGGCTATTCACACACTAGCCATTAGTCCTATCTGCGGCCAGCAATCCTTCACTATGTCATTACAGTGCCGGAAGACTCAGGGAGTGACTGACAGTGACTTTGCTCAAAGGTCCTTTTTCTCCGTAAAAAAACAATATGTGCAAGTCCCCAAACCCTTCCCTACACTCTCCTGGGCAGCGACGCTCTGACGAATACATCTCTTTATTCTGCGTAGGTAGCGATGCTCATCAAATTAACAAACAGCCGCCCCAGCAGTGAATTAAAGCCCCTTATAAAATCCCAGGGGGAGAGGCTGGAGCTGGATTTGGGGTTGAAATTAATCCCATGATTGTGCTAATCGCTAGTTCCTGGCAAGTGTTCTTTGGCTGTAATAAGTGTAACGATTGGGGCCAGGAAAGGCGACTAGCTCCATTTACAAAGGTTTCAGCCGAAATGCCACAGTCATCTGTCCAAACCCCAGGAATCAGAGCAGGCTGCACAGGTGCTGCTAGGAGAGAGGCAGAGCTGATCTGAAACATGCATCTTTTCCCCCATTGAGCCTGACGCCAGCAATGTCTGCTCTCCAGAAATATGATAGTTTCCCAAGCCTGGCAGCAACCTGTTCGCCTTGAGAACGGGACCGGTCTCCAAAGCCGAGAGGCACCCAGGACTGCTTCCCTGTCCTCCCTGGCTGCAAGTTTCGGAAAGGTTGTTACTGTCCTACAGATAAAGAGGAAGCGGACCCACATAGCTCCCGCTGCATGGTTCAGGCACAAGGATTGGGCAGGCCTTCTCCATGAGAGCGGCTGCTCCAAAAAGGGCTCCGTCCATGTCGCCATTTCTCGCTGCCTGCGACCCTTCCGGGTAGGGTGACCAGACAGCAAGTGTGAAAAATCGGGACAGGGGTTGGGGGTAATAGGCGCCTATATAAGAAAAAGCCCCAAATATCAGGACTGTCCCTATAAAATCGGGACATCTGGTCACCCTACTTCCGGGGGCTCTTTGCACCCAGGAGCAGAGACCAACGTGCCGGTTGTGCAGACATTTCCCAGACAGAGTTTGATTCTGACATTTGTTGCCAGTGAGGGGATTGCAACTTTAAAAAAAAAAAAAAGGAAAGTGTGTCATGCCAGGAGCAGCCCCCCCCTGCCTTGTGGCAGGAGAAATGGTTGAATGCAGGCAGTTCTCTCCATAATTTACAGCCACTATAATAGAGATGACATATTGAAAGCTATCTTCTATAATTACACTGAAATACATTTTTGCTGTAGGCAAAAGTATTGTAAGGGTCCCAAGCCTCCCCAAGCAGCTGGGAACCTGCTTTCCGAGTTCACAGATGTCTTCTGAATTCACCCCAAATCAGGGTGAAGCCTGGACTCCAGACAAGTGCCACCGAGCATGCTGAGAACTTGCCCGGGTGCAGTGCAGCCTAGTGCAGAATATTGTTTGGGGCATGGCTGTCCAGCCGCTGAACTAAGCCAGTCTCTCTCTTGTCTTTGCGCACTCCGAGGACTCTTGATTAAGCATTAAAGCATGCTGAGGCATTCTCTGCTTCTGTGGGGTTTCTGAGCAGGTTAACGAGGCCGACCCTACAGCCTGACCTTATTAGTAATGTGCAGGGCACCAAGAGGCCTGAAAAATAGTAGCAAGAAATGACTCAAGTAGCTTGGATGTTGTAACTAAACGTGAGAGAACAAGACCAGGTGGCACATTCGTCTGCTCTGATGCCCACCCCTAGGATTCAGGAGTAACTCCCCAGCCGTTAAATGGTGCACACTAGCGAGAGAGAAATTGGAATCAGGCCCTTTCTGTAGCTCCAAAGCAGTGAGCCTTTCCCAAGCACGGGACGGTTCTGGTCTCCTGAAAGCAGGAAGTTCACTGTAGCTTTTAAACAGAATGTTTGTGTGTGTTCAGTCTTCCTGGTTCAAACACACCGATCTCACAGCCGCCCCTTAGCAGCCTCATTCTGAGATGTCCAGATCTGGTGAAGAGAGTGAATTATCTGACCCTTCTGGAGGGCAGTTTAACACCATTTTGGGGCAGAAATATTTTCATGGGGAAAAAATGCCTGAAAATATTTTCACTGCAACCGTTTCCATTCATACAGGGCTTTGGAAAAAACACCCCAAATCCTGTGAATAACGATGCAATTAGGTGGCAAGTGTTGTGCCCGTGACATTTTCTCAGTGCCAAGTATTTTTCAGGGAAACCAGAGCCCCCCTGTTGTCTCAGGAAAAGAGATGCTGCATTTCGGCACATACATTACTTACCAACGTGTGTTATTTACCCGATGAACGAAAGCTTCTTGAATAACAGTCAGATGGGTAAAAATGTTTTTTCTGAAACATCTGTACTATTACTCCTGCTGGGGAACCAACCGGTGACATTCAGACGTAGAACTGACCCTTCCAGACTCTTACCAAGAAGTGGATGCTCATTCCCCTGAGGAGCGCCAGTAAAGGCTGAGTCAGCTCATTGCTGGAGATGCTACATATGGCAGTAAGGGCTCAAATCCAGAGGCCCGGGATGTCAGAGCTGGATCCCAGGGAATCTTTACACTAAGTTTCAGAGTAGCAGCCGTGTTAGTCTGTATCCGCAAAAAGAAGAACAGGAGGACTTGTGGCACCTTAGAGACTAACAAATTTATTAGAGCATAAGCTTTGGTGGACTACAGCCCATTTCTTCTATATGCATCCGAAGAAGTGGGCTGTAGTCCACGAAAGCTTATGCTCTAATAAATTTGTTAGTCTCTAAGGTGCCACAAGTCCTCCTGTTCTTCTTTTTACACTAAGTGTTTTCTAAGGGCCCAATCCGGCAGTGGGTTGTGTGGTGGGACTTTTAGGATCGGGACTTAGTGGCTCTGCATGATCAGTTCTGCCCGGGGTGATGCTGGCACGCAGTGAACACCACCCCTGGGTCAGACATGTGCAAGTGCCCGAGTTTACAAAATATGAGCCCATGTCGCTTGGCGCAGAACTAAATTTCCGGTCCAGTTTCCAAGAATCCTTAATTTTCATTATCAAAACCAATAGACGCAAGCAGGGCCAGGCACGTGTCTGTGCTCCCAGGCAGTGACCATGTGCCATGTCCGCCCATAGTGGGGACTCATGCCAGAGCTGGAGGAGCAAGACCCAGAACAGTGAGAACCGGGATCTGCGGTTTGTTTCAGGCTGGCAATAGCAACGTGTCTCCGATTCGATCGTGCCGCCTGGTTGTGGGCGGAGTCCTGGCTTGCCAGGCTTGGCCACAAGTGACACTATGTGTATGTGGTTAAACAGGGTTTCCAGGATTAGCTCCTCCACTAGAATCAGACCAGGCACGCCTGGCAGCCCTGCAGGCAGGCAGGGAATCCGCTGCTACTGTCTCCCTGCCCTGCCCCAATGGGGAGAGGAGGCTCGCAGCCTGGTCTGCGCAGCAGGAGGAGACACGTCCTTGTCCATCTTCCCTGCAGCCCTGATGAGTGGAAATGTTTCATTCCCCTGGGATGTCTCCGGCCCAGTTCACAACGGAACAACTGCCACTGACCCAGAGAGAGGAGAGGAGCAGTTCCCAGTCTCCTTCTCCCTGGCAACAGGAGGATGCACTGCCACTCCCAGCCGATGTACAGGTCTGGCCCCCGTTGGCCAGAGGAGGGGAGCTGGCAAACCACTGGGGACCCTGCTATTTCATTGTTTCGGGCCATAAAAATAAACCCCAGGGAAGAGAAAATGTGCAAATGAAAAACAAAGCTCAGATTTGCTCAAATATAAACCCCCCAAACTGAGGAAGCCTCACTAGAGCCTGGGAATGGAAATGCAGCTCCCTGCTAATTGCCTCCCCTCCCTCGCTCCTGCGGTGCCCGTGGAGCCCGAACGGGGACTGAGGGGAATGTGACGGTGCTGCCGAGCCATTGTCAGGGAGACTCAGCCAGGCCCAAGAGCCGTCACAGCGCTGTGCACCAAGCGAGTCCTGCGCCCCTTGGAGGCGAGGAGCTGAGCCTTGTCACACTGCTACCTCCAAAGCCGTGCAGCGAGGACGTAAATTAGCCTGTAATTTACTTTCAGTAGTGTAAAGAAAAAAATCACTTTGCCTGAAGTGTATGCATCTTTCTTAAGGGTGTACCCAGATTTTAATTATCTAAATGTAAATACTTAACGAATTTTACTTAGAGTAATGAGCTAAAGTGCACACTACATAAATGAGATGTTCTAATTAATCATGTATGAACTACTGGTTTAAAGAAAAGCTATGTGAATTCTGCAAATGTTGGGCTATTGCCAAATTGCTAATCAGCATTTGCATTCATAGATGGCTTCACTTAATAAGTTGTGAGACATTCAGCAAATGTTATAGGAAATTATGAGTTTTTAGATGCATAAACTTTTCACTTTTAACTCTTTCCCTCGCGTGGGCTCCTGAAATTCAGATTAGTCATTGAAAATCTAGATGCAAAACAAACCATAAGGTGATTCTTAACCCCAGCTTTCGAATACAAGTGACGCTAACACCACAGTGAGAGTTACATGGTTATCCCGATCAAGACTTTTGCAGTTTCCTCTGCCTGATTTAGTGACTGCTGAGTGTCATTGTCATAGCCCGGTATGTGGGGTACATGAGAGTGAAATCCTTTGGCCATATTTGGCAGTGATTCTAGCTTAACTGTGCTTTTCTACATCTGCCTTGCTTGTATAATCAAAATGCACACCTGCAACGGCACCTAAAGCCGCTGAGACATCCTCCTTTCACAGGACCAGACAGCCCTTTATTTTTTGCATGCCTAAAAAATGCAGCTCTCAACTGGCACAGTGCTGGGTCCCTGGCTTTCTACGGCCAGGTTAGGACAATGACAGGTTTGTACATGGAATGTGCTGGAGTTCCACTCTGGTTCCCTAGGAAGAGATCAGTTCTGTAGTTGTAACTTAGTTCCCTCAAGCAGAGAACAGAGCTGGGTTTTGTTTTTGAACGAGAGGACAGACAGATAAATCAGCATACTTTGTGACAGCACCCAGCCTCTGCTTACGGAGCAGCCAGAATGCCAGCACACCGACGGCTTGTTCAGAGCATCATCGGCTCAGGAGAAGTCTCTGGATGAGGCAGTCTGAGAAGTTGAGATTGCACTGTCCTCCTCCCTACGTAATCTGTGGAGGCGGAAGGGAATGCGAATCCAAAGCTTCCAGCACCTTCTCTCGTCAGTGTTTCAGGCCATACTGTGAGGCCAGGGCCCAGAGAGCCCGGCAGCTGTATGGCATATGGCCTCTGTGAAATTATGTCTTTTAAAGGGTTTGCTCTAGGTCAAATCAAAGAGATTTAAATATCAGAATCTGCCACAGCTGGTTAAACAGTGACTTGCTGTGTGAGAGTGGTGAGGTGCGTTCCTAGAAGGGAAGTCGTGGTATCAGGCGGGCTTCAAAGATACGGGGGGGGGGATCCTCACCCACATTTAGGTTATTAAGTCTGCTCTGTAACAGCTCATGCCTGTTGCTATTTATATGCTATAACCTGAGCAAACCCTTCTACTTCGGTGCCCTTCTGCCCCTCCTAGAAAAATACACGGACACTGTCCTGGAGAGTTATTTCTCTGTAAATGTAAAAAGAGCCATAGCGTAGTCATAGCTTATTTACCCCCCTGGCACTGTAAAAAGAAAAGAGACTCAACCTTTCATTCACAAATCTGTGTCTATCCGTTATATTATTAAAAGTTTCAGAGTAGCAGCCGTGTTAGTCTGTATCCGCAAAAAGAAGAACAGGAGGACTTGTGGCACCTTAGAGACTAACAAATTTATTAGAGCATAAGCTTTCGTGGACTAC